CGAGAATAGATCCTCCGCTTCCTTCGACGTCTAGAAGAGATCAAGCGACCTAAGAGTAAAAGTCTTCGTCCTCTCAATTGATTTGGCTGAACCGATCAAGGAGAGGCTAACTGCTGTTTACTCTTCCTTATAAAACTCTGTGGATAGCAAGTGCAAGCAAAGAGATTCTTCCTCTTCAAAAACCTCTTCAACGTGCTCAGTGATAGCGGAAGTGACATCCGAAACAGTTTGGACAGCGAGGTCGTTGCTCATCCTTCTATTAACTCATCTTTTCAATTTGAGAGCATGTCGGCGAGGTAATGCCCCTAAACTTAGTTCCGAGCCTTATGGATGTGGTTGACGCTTTCGAGCTTTTAGGTTTCTAGAAACCCCACTTTACATTTTTCCAAACCCAAAATAATTCCTATGTTCATTGTCAGCTCTGCGAACCCATGAAAATTTTATGATTTTTCATGGGTTGCTGTCATGTGAGAGCCTGTAGGAGATGGCAACGTGCGCCGGACCGTTGGATTTGTATTCAACGACCCCCAAATGCATGAAATAGCATTCGTATTGTATTCCAATCCTTCACCTACGATCAAGCCTTAGGCTAAGAGTCGTTATTTGATCATAACTTGAGTAAAGGCGCGTAGATTTCATATTGATAGCTTGCATCAGTTTCCTAGCAAATCACAAGTTATATGTTTAACAATCATGGAGATTTACATTTAAAGGTTTAGGAGATTCGCATTGCTTAACAATCATGACATTCCCTAAATTTGTTATCAAGAATGAGATTCCATTAATTTTAAAAGCTTACAAGCAATTGGTGGTTTCTTTCATGAACTCTCATGTTTATGTTTCAAATATCATGATGAATATAATTGGTTGAATTTGCTTTTGACATTTCTCCAAATTTAGAGAAGTAGGACAAGTGATGAATAACTCCAATCCAAATGATCGCACACTTAATCAAACTAAGTTGCATGGTTTAAGTTGCATCACTCAATCCTTAGGAGAACGCATGTTGTAGGTTATTTGCTAATGTTGTTGTTTACCTAAAGTTTGCAAATTCACAAACATGCTCATTTAATTTTTAAGTGCTTGTAAAGCAAAGGTGGAGTATGCTATGACTTTCAAAAAGCCTATAGATTATATCCTACCATACATTGAAATTATCCAAGCATGTTTGTGCAGTTTGTAAATTCAAAGGTTGAAGGCAATAACAAGTAGCTTAAGCATTTGATAAATTCCTAAAATGATGAACCACTTAATGCATGCTTCTAATTTCTCTTAGATCATGCCAAAATTAATCTTAAAAGCTAGTTTAAAGGCACATCTAAATTATCACTCTTATTTAAAAATGTGGTTAAAACACTTAAAAAAAGAGTTCTCTTTCAAATGTCACTTTTCGTCATGCATGATATTTTGGAGCTTTCCTAAGATTTCAAATGTTTCATTGCATGAATCTTAGCATTTCTTAAGAGCTATCATCAAACTTCCCTATGTATGATGTTTTGGATTTCCTTAAAGTTCTAAACATATCATGCCATAAACTCTTGAATCTTAGGACCAAATCCTAAGTTCTTTTATTTCATTTGTTAAATTCAAAATTAACAAATGATCCCTTAGACATAAGACCAAAATCCTAGTCTTCCTCATTTGCTTTGCCCCAAATTGAGCGAATTAATACCTCTCTTCGAACACCAAAAGTTCAAAGAATCCTCTCAAATTTGTAACCCCTTAGTTGCATACTGCCTTGCATTTTCTATGAACCCAAAAGTTGTAGAAAATTCTCCTTCCTTAGCCTAAAATCTATAGGAAATACTTCTTCCTCTTTGCTTAGTGACCTACCCCAAACTCATATGAAAGTTTTGAAATGACTTTTAGAGAGTTGGGGAGAACATTAGATCCTTAGAGATCAAACTTACATCTGACCAATTCATTTGTTGAGTCAAAAATCAATAAATAATCTCATCTCAAACATAGGAATTAAAATCCAAACTCCATTTCATACTTTTAATCCAAGTTGGGTGAATGAACACCTCTCTTTGGACAGCCAAAGAACTCCTGATAATTTGTAGTCCAAAACTAAACATCATCCTCCTATTTATCAAATGTGTTTGCTTTATTCACATTAAGCAAATCAAACATCTCTCATTGAACACAATGTCAATGATTCCATTATGATTTGCAATCTCAAATATCACAAATCATCCAATCTCTATGCATTTAAAAGTCATAGAGATTTTCTCATTCTTCATTTAGCTCCCAAGCTATAAGGATCCCCCAACTCATTAGCCTCAAAGTCATGAGTTTTATTTATTTCTCCTTAGCTCCAAATGTAAAGAGAACTTTTCAATCTTTAGTACAAAAGCTATAGGTTGGACATTTTCCTTCCCTTTTGTAGCTTTAAAAGCCATAGAAACTCCTCCTAACCTTAATCAAAAGATTAAATGTTAGCTCATTTCTCATTTGTCCCAAAAGCTAAAGAGAAACCTCCGATACTTAGCCTAAAATCTATAGGTTCTATCATATCCCCTCAACCTCAAAGTTGTAGGGCTTCTTATTCAACTCTTAGCCCCAAAGCTATAGGTTTGATTCCATTCTCTTTTGTTCTAAAGTTAAAGAGAATTTTCCTCATCCCTTAGTCTAAATGCTACGTGATCCCTTCTACCTTTAGCTTCAAAGCTTTAGGTATTTCATCATCTTCCCTCTCATGATAATTAAAATGTAAGCTTCTAGAATTTCTTTTAGAGCATTTTTATGTTGAAATTTACCTTACCTAATTAGGTGAATTTCACTAATTCCTAAGTCAAATCTTTAGGCATGTTTACCTTACTCTATTAGATAAACATCTCTCTTTTATCCAAACACCAAGAAAACTCTAAAAAATACTTAAAAAATTATTTAGGTTTTTTTTTTTATGTAATGATAAGTCATTCCACCCCGGAAGGTAGAATGTCTATATTATTGGATCTTAGGATTCTTGGAATAATATTTTTTTTTCAAAGTAAGCAGTGGTTGCTCTATGAGTTATTCATAATCCTCCTAAATATAAAATCTTAAAAATCAAATAAAAACTATAAATTACAAATAAATTGAAGTGGAACCATTATGTATCAAAATTAAACATCTTCATTCCATAATAAAACAAGACACCACTTGTAGTGTGACATACCACATAGTTAGCACACACTTAGATGTACAACCCCTAAGCATGATAGGATTAGGATTTTTTTTTTCTTCTGCGCATATGATTGTTGTGTTTGGTGTGATGCTTATTGGATTATTTGTGTTGTGGGCATTTGCCCTTAAGTAGCTAAAATAAAGATATATGTATTTTTTTAAGGAGTCATGTCCAAAATGAGATAAATAATTCATAATTATAAAAAAATGCTTATTTACAAGTATTGCTTAAAACCTCTAAAGATGCATGACCAATAAGATAGAAATGGGGCTTCAAACTTTAAGTGCCAAACAATTCTGAGATGTTTCTCTTTTTTTTTTTTCATATATTACATGCTTCCAAACTCTCCTGCTTTGTAAGTTTGAGTCTTTTTTATTTTTCAAATGTATTTCATAGACTTAGAAAGTATTGTAGGCCTGTGGGATACAATTACAAGAAAGATGAATCAGAAGGATGAACCTCCTAGGTGAAGTCCTGGATGCATCTAGAAGCCAAAGCCTAAAGACCCACATGCTGAGTCTGTAAAAGAAAATGATTCCATAATCAAAGTTTACCTTCAACCCCTCTTTTGTATTATCAACAAGAAGAATATCATCAGCAAAAAACATACACTAGGGTACAACCTCTTGCAAATGTCTAGTGAGAACATCCATGACTAAAGGAAAAAAGATATGGGCCATTAAAAGAGAAATATAAAATTAAATTAGGTGTTTCAAAGATGAGGATGCTCAGGTGAATGAGTGGCTTTACACTTAGAGACATAATCCAAAACAAGTGTATACGTGAAAAAGTTGGATTAGCTCCAGTGGCAAATAAGATTAGAGAGAGTTGTCTTAGATGGTTTGGTCACATAAAGTGCTGGCCTTTTGATGACCAGGTTAGGAGAGTAGATGTTTTAGATCCGGCTTATGTTAAGAAAGGTAGAGGTAGATCTAAAAAGACTTAGTTAGAAAGTATTATAAATGACATTTGTTTATTAGATTTAAATGAGAATTTGACTCTTATTAAGACATAATGGAGAAAAAAGATTCATATAGCCGACCCCACGTAGTGGGATAAATATTTGTTATTGTTGTTGTTGTCTTCTATCTTTACATGTTTTCCACTCTACTAAAGCTAGTGCCTTGAGGTCTTCCGTTAAGTTCCTAAATGATGACATAGAGAGACTAGCAACTATTGCAGCTAAACGATAAGAACTATAGCTTTTCCAGCTTCCTGTGCATATGCCTTTTTGGTGCTACTGGCAGTTTTTTTGCCGTGCTTATCAAGATTGCAGTTATAAGATGGTTACCACTTTTGTGACACCTGTGGAATCTGCAATTTAGTCCGACTGATGTTAGCTGTTTAATGAGTTATTTTATTATCATAAAAAGTGGTCTAAGACATTTGCAAAAATCATTATCTTGATGGAAGCTTTGGTGATTTAAGGCCTATGCATGGGTCAAGTTTCATAGAGTTGAAAGCCTAATAGATGAGATGCTTATTAACCAATTGATGCTGGAGTACTTCCTTTTTTGGTGCTTATTATGAGGTTTAAGGCAAAGCCATTCAACCAAATGGATAGTGTTTACCTTTTTTTTTTTTTACTTATACTGGTTGAGGACTTCCAGTGTGGCTTTCTTGAGCTCCATTTATTTTTCAATTCTCAAGACCTCAACGAACATGTTTTCTAAATTGATATTCATTTTCTTTCTATGTGAATTTAATGCAGCATCACTTTTGTTCTAGCTATGTATGATATGGATTGCTCCATTTCCCTGTGATTTTTGCAAAAGATCATGCACTACTGTTGTCTACTCCACAGAACATTGATGTTTTGTTGGTTTTCCAGGTTTGGGAAAAGGACTATTGAAGGAATTGTTAAAGATGGTATTAATTCCTTAGTTCGGTATTACCTTAACAACTTCGCAGATGGGATTAAGCAGGTATGCAATTTGTTTTACTTCATTTCATTTCTTAAACAGCATGACGTTGCAGAATCAGACCAGAGATGCATTCATATGACATGGAGTTTTTCACTTAGTTTTGATGGTGTAATAAGATAATGCAATGAACCTAACAAAATATTTTAGTAAAAAAATGAAGTTCAACACACTAAGAAGATTCTAAGAAAACTTATTTACTCTTATGCCAAATATGATGTAAGAAGATAAATGTCTAACCAATGATTTCACTTAAGATTCTTAGAAAAGTTACTCAAGCTATTATAAATATTCTACCAGTGGATTGATTTAGCAACCTCTGATTTAATTAGGGATGAACCGTGATAATGCAAGAGATTGTGTTACCTAAACTAAGACTTCTAACCATATAATAGTAAAATAGACAGTAAACTTAAGGATACTGCACACTCCTTCGAGGGAGCCTAGTTGCTTGGAGGAGCTGGAAATAGAATGTGGTGGCAAGGTCTACTACAGAGTCAAAGTTCATAGCTATAACCTTAGGCATATATGAGCCATCATGGATCAAGATGATTCTAGAAGACCTAAGGATCAAGCGGGAAGGACCAATGAAACTACATTGTGATAACAAATCAGTAATTAGCATAGCTCACAATTCAGTTCAGCATGACATAACAAAGCACATAAAAAAAATGGACAAACATTTCATAAAGGATAAATTAGACATCAAACTTATTTGTATTTATCATGTCTTATCAAAAGATCAGCTTCTAGACATTTTTTTTTCTTACCAAGGGACTTGATAACTTTACCTTTCTTTAACTAATTACCAAGTTGAGAATGACAGATTTGTATTCCCCAGCTTGAGGGGGAGTGTTAAATCCCAGTCGTCCCTTGTCCTTGATCCCATGACCAGCATGGAGATCTGTGGGAGGCTCACTTAGATCACGCTAATCTCTTTCTAGATTTGGGTGGTTGATTTAGGATGGATTATATTAAGACAATTATGTATTATTTTGTAATTATTTGTTTCCTTATTAAGATATCTTGTATAGATCTATAAATAGGGATAACTTTATACAATAAAATTAAGCTTTTTTCCTCTTAAATTCTCTGAATTTAACACATGCCTGGAAATTCCACTTTTAACAGTTGGATGTGTTCTCCAGGATAATTCGCACCTTCATAAACCAGTGACACCCTTCATTTACTCAAAGTACTAATTAATGGATAATACATAAACATGCCTGACTGCAAATCACCCCCATAAGTTAACAACTTAAAATGATAACACAAGTAGCTTAAATTTCCTTCAATAGCTATAGACCTGAAACTTCGCATCACTTTGCCAACTACTAATGGAATGGTGTATAATGGTTGCATTGTCTCTTCATAGTTTGGGGCTGCATGATACCACATTTTTAAACCAGTGTAGCATTCGATGCACTGCTTCATGTGCAGTATATGGTCAAACTACTTCTGATTTTCTCTGGTTTCTATAGAAATTGATTTTTTATCATTAACTTTACGGCTATCTTTCATGTTTTTCTAAACACCTTTTTTACTATTGCTGAATGTGAAAATTTTTTTTGTTTGAAAAAAAATCTGTCATTGGATTACCTATGTTTGAGAATGGGGTATGATTTTCATGCATTTTGAATGGTTTATGCCATAATCTGATATATAAAATGCTTTTTTTATTTCGTATGATTTATCTCATTGTTAATATGTTAAACATTTCAATTGAGCGTGAATGTTCTTTATTAAACCTTTTCATGTCATTACTGTAAGGATTCCACCGATCTATTACAAGGACATTACATTTTGTCAACCAGTCGAGGTCTGGCTTCTCCATCACAGCCTGTTGGTCTGGGGGCCTTTGCGGTATGCATACTATTTCAAAGATAGCCTATCCAAGTTGTATCTTTTTTTCCTCCTTTTCTGAAGCTTTCCAAAAGTCTCAGTCTTTCATACAACTAATCTTTAATATTATTTTCAGCAATTGAATCCATCTTGCCATAACGTGAATTACTTATATTCCATGCTCATTTATGATTAGCTTGTTTACCACGAAGTACTATTTATCATAAAATGATATGGCTGATCAAAACTTCTCCAAATTGCCTATAACCTTTTTAGAATAATAGAAATGAAAAAGAAAAGGAAAGAGCGTGTGAACTGTTTCAGCATATGAAAATATAGCAGAGTTGATCTTCAACAAGTATTGTTTTAAACAGAAAATGAAATTATGATTAGCATTTTTATTAGTCGATTTGTTTTACACTCTAATTTTTAGGAGGCCCAACTCTAAACTCAGCATGCACTTTATTCTGTCAACTTGCGTTCTGATTGTTACTCTAATTAAATTTATACACAAAACTCTAAGCTAGTATTTCTTTATTTGCAGTCTATGAGAGTTGCTTCTGGAGTGGTTTTGGCCGGAGTTATGTTTGCCATGCTGTCAGTTAGACAAGGTGAGAAGCCGTAGCTCTCTTTTTTAAAGTTCTAGATTTGTACTGCTTACCAGCTTTATCTCAGATGAATCACTGATGGAAGCTGCATAATTTATTTCATGTTCAATGATCGAAACGCTTGTATACTGAATGGCAAGTTTTAAAATGAAACTGGTTGAAAATGTTGCCATGATATTACATTTATTATAACACCTTTTGATCATCATTTAGCTTTTTTTCCCGCAAGACTTTCATATCCTGCTATTCTGCAGATTTCTTAATGTTTTAATTTTTTTTTTCTTTCATTCACGGGCATATATGTTTAGCTTGTGCTGTTGAACAACTTTCCTTCTTATTTTCCTGCTTAAAACAAATAATAAGGCTCATTTGGACCCACAAGGAAGGTTGTTTATTACAAGTATACTTTCTTAATCTTTATGGATGTATTGCATACTGCTATTAGCATGCAATCCATTAGCCAACTAGAATGGCATACGTTCAGCTTTGGATTAGGTGCACCAAAAAACTAATCAGAACTGAGAACTTTTGATTTGCTGTGAGATATTCTTGATTAGGCCTATCTTTATTTTTGTAGGCCAAATCCAGTGCGATCTATTCTGGTTGTAGTTGTTGAGAGTGAATGTGACTGGGTAATACAGGAGGTTGGGTAGGGTAGAGAATGGGCAGAAGGGGAAATTTATTACGGCATTATGGGAGTGGAAGGAGAGTTGAGATGAATTTTAGTGGGACGGAGAGATCTGGCATACAAAGGAATATAGAATAATAAGATGTTTAGAGGTGTATAAAGGTGGAATGTAAAAGATTTCCTTACGGAATCTGAGAGAATGTGAGAAAAAAGGGGATGTGGGCTGCGAGTGAATGAAGAAACGTATTTGTTGGAAACTAGCTTAGAGTGCATGCATAATAGTGAGAAGAACAGGAGGAGATCTACCATAAAACTTTTACTGTTGTGCGCCCTTCTTGACGTGAACTTTTTAAAATTTTTATGGGAAGAATTGAGAAAAATTAGCAAGTTAAGGATGAGTCTTTCTAGTTTTGGCACATGATTAAATTTGGCTAGGTCAGCCAGTCCCGGAAATTATATATACATGGGCGGATTCACCTTAAGGCCCGGGGGGCAATTGTCCCTTCTGAAAAAATAAAAAAAAAAATCTTTATTATATGATTTTTTAGGTAATCGTTCTCCTATATGTATTTTTTAGTCTTTATTACAAGGGTTTTTAGGCAATTGCCCCCTAAAAGTTTTAAAATATTATAATCTTTAGGCAATTGCCCCAACATAATTAAACACATTGTGTAGAGATGTTATTTTTAGGGAACGATGAACCAAATACATGTCGAACCTCTCAAGGGGACGTTGCTTCCTTGGACCTCCGACATATCTGCGAAGCATACAACGATGAACAAATAGGGGTTGAGAGGCAGCGCCCTCGGAACAAATTTTGGTTGCAAGGATATTTATGAAAAAAAATTCTACACTTTTACTTATAAGTTTGCCCCCTTGAAAATATATAATAATAAACATATCTTCTGGACAATTATAGCTCAATTTCTGGAGCGCTTGTATATCTCTATAAGAGTAGCAGCGAGTTCATTTCTTACGAGTCAAATACTTTAAAAAAAATTTAACAAATTAAGAAGTAACCGTTCTCGCCTGCTAACTCCAATTCTGACAAAAGACTATCACTCCATCTGACCCTGTATTTTTTTGCCTGGCAGCTCAATATGATCGTCGACATCTTCTATACGCTCTATTCTGGGTAAGCCTTAGCATCGGAGCAGCGTCAGTTGTAAAAGCTTATGGCCGAATGTTCACAAACAAGCCTCGCCTATTCATTTCTCGTCATTAACAATAAAAGAATTGCAAAGCCGTGAACTTAAAGCTGCTGTCTCCAATCCTTCTTAGCCTCTTTCCACGCTCAATGAGGAACTCGGAGCATCCAGTAATTGTAACAATTTACAATTTCTTTTAACACTGATGTCTTTTTCGCTGCTTATTCATATATTATCTTCATTCTTTTAGTTTGAGAAAATGTTTTCTTGATTCTGTATGTCACGAGTTTTTTTTTTCAAATCAACCAGAAGTTGCGATTCTGTTGTTCTTTTTGGCCGTTTAATCACCCAATGAGAATAAATTACTGATCGTTGAAACGTGGTGATCACAGCAAATACGTATCAAACCTTCGTATTTTGTTTTAATCAGAGGCATTTACTATTCTTTTTAGAAAATTAGCTTATTGCATCGAACCTGAGTTTTGGTTGAGTTTATCGTTATAATTTAGGCTTCGTTTGGGATAATTTTTTTAGTACTTTTTAAAACTTTTTTTTAGTACCAAAATTTATTGAATTATAAAATTTAGTATTGAAAAATTGCATTAAAAACAGTAAGGAAGTTGTCCTAAAGATTTCATTTGGGACAGTTTTTTTATTACTTTCTAAAGCGGCTTTTTGATAATAAAAAGTTTTTAACTAAAGATTTTTGTACTAGGAATTTACTTTGGAAAGACATAAGAAAATCATCACAAACAAACCTTAGTCTCTAAGAGATAGGGGTGTGAATCAAGCCGTGAGTTAGATTGGATGTGAGTTGGGTTGTATTTGACTTAATAATCAAATAGCTCATTGTGAAAAATATTTTAATTTAAGCTTAGCTCATTGTATCAAACAATTTATTTTTTTTATTCATTTTATCAATTTATTTTTTTTAATTTTTTAAATCATAATCATTTTCTTTGTTTCAAAATAAATTAGAAGTAAGCTTCTGTTTAAGCTTAAATTTAATTAATTAAGAACAAATTATGGGTGACTTGAATTTGGCTTGAACCGTTTACTAGGACAGTTGGAGATTAATGTAACATTAAATATTCTCTAATTAGTGAATTAAGTTGGGCTAATTCATATTTAGTTGGACTAGTTAATTAATTTACAATTGAATCAAATAGGCTAATTACTAATTAGTTTCAATATGGCAAATAAATTCATTTTAAAAATAGGCACATCAAATGATTGATTGAATGTCTAGTTGGAACTGGCCTTTGATTTTACTTCCACATATATAATCAAATAGATTACATTGCCTTCATTTTAGGGATAACCAAATAGTCTCAAATATTTGTTTTATATTCTATTTATTTTACAGCCAATCAAATTATCCATAAGAGATTATTATTATTTATTGGGTTGGGAATATAATAAAATAATTGACCTCTCTGAAATAAGTTTCAAAAATCAAAATTGATTAAACATGTTTTGTACTTGGAAGAAAAAGTTTCATAAGAAAATGGTTGCAAGCATATGGAAATAATTTATATTACCGGAAAAATATAGCCTATAAGAATAGTGCAATAGAGAAATAAATAAATGAGAGAAAAAACTACATTAGTGAGGATTAACCAAACCTAAATACTATTTTAATGTCTCCTCCTCTGGTGATGGCCCATCAAGCAACTTGACTTACAGTTCAACCCCGCAGTCCTGTTCATGGCAGTCGTTACGGGTAAATGCTTCCTAGTCACCGGACCACCGGTGAGTTCTCTTGCCCTTCATTGTTCGTCTACCTATGGCTTTCTGTCTATTGAACCGAAACGAAAAGGATTCACTGATGCTTGATTTCTTCTTCTTCTTCTACTACTTTTCGCGACGGTGGGGATGCGGATGCGCCGCAGGGCGTGGGTAAAACGACGCTGGTGATGAGAGTAGTCGAGAGCCTTCGAGCTTCCCATCCAGAACTCAACATTCAAGGATTCTACACCCGTATGATTCCAAACCCCCCTTTTGTTTCCTTTCAATTTCTTAAAATTTGGATTGAAGTTGTATTGTGCTGTAGGAGAGATTAGGGAGGGCTCACAGAGAGCTGGGTTTGAAGTGGTGACGTTGGATGGTAGGCGCGGACCTCTGGCGTCGTCAACTGCGTCGAGGTTTGTGATCTTTTGATTTCCTTTTTTTTTTTTTTTTTAATGATGAAATCGGGCTAGACCTGGAAATTTTTGCTTCTTTGTGGTTTAGGGTTTTAAGCTTAAAGCTTGGCCTTTGATGTAAGTCTTGCAACTTTTGTTTGTTGCTGTGTAGAATGTGGTCTACGGATAAATGTTTGATTTTGATTGCTACATCTCATAAGCATGAAAATGTTTCACATTATTGTTTGGATTCTTAATTGCTACATCTCAGAAACATTCCATTGTGACAATTTCGATTGATTGACAACAAATTTCATTCACTACTGAATCATTAAATGCTGTGGCTCTGTTTTTCTTTCTGTGACTTGAGTAGCTGATAATGCTGGAAGATTTCGTATGGTTTGCAGTGTGAGCTTAAGATTAATAAACTGCTAATGTTGATGGTGTTTTTTTTGTCAGATTACATTGCTAATTCATCTTTGGTAAGCCTTGCTGACAATTATTTGTGAAAACTCGACTGATATCCCTGTATACTCTTAAATCTTTGCTTTTGTATGGTACTTTTGGGCGCATTTGAATGCACACTACTAGGCAATGTTCCTCAATTTTATACAATTTCTAAATGATGTAAACATTTTATGGTTATAGTTGTTAGAAATGCTGTATGTTTCATTGAGAAGAACAATTAAGAAACTAAACTTTATTTTCATTTGATACTCATGTCAGGATGTTCCCTTCAAGAATATGTTGTATTCTTTGATTTCGTGAGTTTGTTTCTGGCTCCATTCTCTATTACTTGAATTGGTTGACCCTACCTAGTTTAGTTCTTTGTTGATCCGGTTCTTTGTATCTGCTATTTATGGTTCCCGAGTTTGTGAAACTTATGTGATTCACATCTTGGGCTTTTGATGCTCCTTGTGGATTTGGCCTTGGGTCTTCGATGAGCAATATTCGTGCAAGTTCTGGATAAGCTTATGTTACGGTAATTCAGTAGTTCCTATTGATTTAGGAGGTGGTTGCTAATTCTATATTCTTATTATTTTTTACTTTGATTATAAGTTAAGTGAGCTTGGTGATTATAAATATAGTGTCTTAGTTATGTAAATAAACAGTCTACTTGATTTGTACTTTTGATTGAATGGATTTTTGGTTGGATGTAATTCCTTCTCATGATGTAATTGGAAATAGAAGATCAAGGTAAGTTATCTCCTCACTCTATTGAAGACCCAGTTTTTCTATTTGATGATCTCTGATATTCTTTCTGATCCTATAATTTTTAGTAGTTTGTATGATTGTGTGATTGAATTAGATCAAATTTGGTACATTATGATTTTTTATGTAATTTAACGTATAGTTTTCATTCTTTTAAATTTTTATGTGTTATTTTTATTAAATGACTATTTAATTATCATTTTTTCTTTTTATTTCAAATTTCATCTACATGAATGAGTAGCTATCTAAATTAAGAGTAATGAATTGCTAATTTGAATGTGAGAGCATGATTTTGAGTATCTCATCGTAGTAAACCGTATATATGGGATGTCCTACATTAAGTTTGGTATTGGAGCTTAAGGTATAGTCAAAATGCCAATTAGAAGGGCTCAATATCATGGTCATCTAACAGATCATTGAAGGGATTAGATTTTTTCTAACAAGTTCAAAATTAATTAGATGTATATTAAATAAGCAAAATTAACATGTGAGGATATAAATTGAGTTAAAGTGCTAATTTAAACTTTAGAAACTACCCATTTCAATCACATTAGCAAGATGTTGATTTTATTTATAATGATGAATTCAGCTCATCCATTTGGTGTTAATATTGCTAGGAGACTTGAAATTAATCTTGAAAGAAATTATCAAAATAGGCAGCATAGGTTATATGTTAATGAAGATTATAGTAATCATGGTCACCTAAAATATGAATTAGATGATAATATAATAGACAAGTTAAAAATTGATGCATTTACATTTTATCGGAGATTAGTTTTTTGGAATTTTTTTGGAAAATTTGATTTTATATGTCCCTTAACACAGATAATTTTAGAAATATCTCCAATGTTTATTTTCTTGGATAAAAATATTTGAAAGTTCATTTTGGATGAAGTTACCTCCCCTTGTATTCATCGATTGTTTATTGAAGTCCATTAATAAAGAATTTGGTTCTAACTAGTTCAAATTCAAATTTAACTTTGAATTTAGTTTGAATCAAGGTTGTTCATACTTCGTCGGTCATGCATTGCCTTTCCCAGCAAGTTCCATCTCACATTGCCTATCCCAAGATACCTTCCTCAGCAATCCCCATCATGTGAGATCATCTTCTCCTCAAACGCAATCAATCACATTGCACCTTTCCCATTGCACCTTTCCCAATGAGCTTCATCACATACCACTAGTCTTGCAATCCCCTCCCCAAAAAGCTCTTGCACGTGAACGATTGTCCTCACATTCATCTGGTCATGTTGTTGCTTCCCAATGAGCTTTTTCACATGCTAACAGCCCCATGATTCCTTCCCCAACAAGCTTCGTAGTGTGAACTCTTCTTCTACTCGCACACAATTGGTCACATCATTGCCTTCTCTAGCAAGTTCCATTGCACGTTGTCGATCCCATAATACCTTCCCCAACAGGCTCTTTCACGTCTATTTGCTCTACAATCTATCATGCGCGACACTCCCTAAAGAGGTTCAAATGATGGAGGTTCTAAGATGCCTTCCCTTGCAAATTTTTTTTTTTTTTTTTGAAGTGCTTTAATGAGCAGGTCATGAATATATGAGAGGTAATTTTGTCTGAAATAAACTTTTATGCATATTTCATCAAGAAAATAAATATTGAGGATATTTTCTAATTTTTTTACTATAAGCCATATAAAATCAAATTACCCATTTTTTTTTTACTTGGCTAGGGATAAATAATTTTTTGAAATCAATGCCAAGTGAATGCCAAGATTTGCTAAATTTAAATTAATTGAGTAATTTAAAATGTAATGGATGAGTGCGAAAAAAACAAAAGGAAATCCTTGGTGGAGAACCTAGAATTATTTGAGTTGAAATGACTGAGTTACTTAAAAAAAATGTCCCATTTTTTGAATGACAACTTAAGTTTTTTCTCCTCCTTCATTTTAAAATATAATATTTTAGTAGCTTAATTAACATTAATTTTATTTTTCTTATTCTATTATATTTTCCTATGATTTTTTTATATTTTTTAACAAAATAATTATTTTATTAACTTCATTTTAACAATCTATAATATCACAGGACTATTTTCTTTTCAATTGAATTTAAAGTATTCAATAAATTTAAATATATTTTATTTATAAACAATTGAAATGAATTTATTATTATATGAATTGATTTCTTTTTTATTTATTCATAATTATTATATTTTATATTTTTTTAAAATATACTATTATAATGTCTTGTCAAATTTATGTCCATGTCTCATGTCCCTAAAGATGCATCATAGAGAATGATTGATTTATCCTATAATAGCTATATAATTGAAGAATATTATGTTTGAATATATAAATATGCGTGAATATGTTAGTTAATTATTGTCTATAGAATTCTTTTAGTTGGGCTTTAACTAAGTTTTGTACATTGGGCTTTGATTGAACTGTTGGGCCTTTAGATGGACTTGCACAGTTGAGTTTTTGTGAAAGCTAATTGCAATGGTTCTGTTCCTCCAATTTGTGTTAGCTGTTACAGTCCTTTACACGTGCTTCTATTGCATTGTTCAACTTTCTGATTGTGATCATCAATGATCTTATTCACGTCTGAGTGCAGGTGATATGCAGTCTGGTCCTTCACAACCAACGGCTTATTCAATTCAAATCTTCGGCCTTATAAAGATTACTAATTCTAAAATATTTTATTACAAGAGTTTTATGAGTATAAGGCTTCGTTTAGGGTGGCTTTTTTACTGCTGCTTAAAATGGCTTCTAGTATAAAATTTTTTATTTTTGTACTAAAAAGCCGCTTTTAAAAAGCAATAAAAAAGTCATCCCAAACGAAACCTAAATATTGGTACCTGAGCATGTTTAAAGGAAGTTCTAATAACAATTCCCTTCAAATATTATGTATCCCTTCTAAGGGGTAGTCGTTGGATGCTTTCTAGCATTGTTCATATTTTAATTATGAGATGATATTCTTCCTTTTTTCCCTCAACATGCAGTAGGGAATCCCTCAGGTGGCCTTGCGTTGGAAAATACAAAGTAGATTTGGCATCTTTTGAGGCAATAGCTTTGCCTGAATTAGAAGTAAGCCGGGTTGTGAGGCTTTATTCACCACTTTATCCTAGTCACAGGTAAATTAAATGCTGAAGTTCATTACTATATTTGTCGTGTTTGAAGGTTAAAGAAGGCACAGATCTTTTCATCATAGATGAAGTGGGCAAAATGGAGCTTTTCAGTTCTTTATTTTTTCCTGCTGTTTTGAAAGTTCTTGAATCCAATATCCCGATTCTGGCCACTATACCCATACCCAAGTCTGGTCGTGACATCACTGAAGGTATTTACCAAGATAACAATTAACATAATTAAATTTCATTGAACTATCAACATCGTGATTAATGATTAATTCCCCTTTTTTCCATCTAGTGATCTTGCTTGTTTCTTTTTTCAATCTTCATGTTCTATTGTTTCCTTTCAATGGACATACTACCTCATGTGAATAATTTTGGAGAACTAGTTTATCTCCACCAATTTTTAGAGGATTTTGCAGTATTTGACTCTTGCTATTGTGCATCACATGGGACAATAATTCGAAACTTTTAAAAGAAGTTTGGTTCCTTTTAAGGCTTCAGAAAAGGAAGTTTTAAAACTGTTGTTTGAGATAACGGAGTTTTCTAATGGAAAAATTAAATCAAAAGCTTTTGAGAACAGTACCAAAAAAGGGTATTCTAAACAAGTTTAAGAAAATAATTTTTTCAAACAAATAAATTTTTTCTACTTTACCATTGCCAGACGGAAAAAGCATTAAAAACGGACAAACAAACTAGCCCTAATTGTGTTTGTCTATACAACTCTCTCTTTATTTTATTATCATGAGGATCCAGATATCTTCTTCTAGGAGGAAGTACGTTGAGCCTAAACCACTTGAGTGAAGGTTTTCTTTTAAGCGGCTGTGTTACTATCCTTCTGCATGCCGCAGACCCAAAATGAGTTCTAAGTGAAGCACTGGACCTTAAGACATGTCGTACAGCGATTTGTTCACTTCCAGGAATTCAGCTATAGCCCTCTAGAGTTATTTGAGTTATCGCACTTGGTAGCTTAAGCCCAGATGTCACATCAGGAGAAAAACAAAACTATACATTGAGCTTGTGAGAAAGTTAGTTCACACTAGATTTATTTATTTGCAAATTATGTTATTTGACATTCTTGTAATTTACGCTTACTGAATTTCTTTGTAAGCCAGTTATCTTATCTTTCCTTTCTTCCTCGTGTTCTCTCTCTTCCTCTCTCTCTTCTTCTCTTCCCCCTCTTCTTTAATCTTTAACTGTTTACCTCATCTTTTGTTGATCCATCCATCTATTTCATTCCTTTCTTCATCAGTTCTGCTTGATTAAAAGCACATATACTTGTACTATGCAGTTTCTAGGTTACGAAATCATCCAGTGGCTGCAGTAAGCACACTCAATACCGGGAATAGAGATGCCATTAGAGAGACCATATACACTCAGATTGTCAGCTTACTGCAAAAACACTGAGGTTCCATTCTGGACGATACACGCTTCAGAAATTAAGCAGAGGGACCATTCGGACGACAAACTTGCTGCTATAACGGTACAGTCTCCTTTGTGCAATTTTTTTTTTTTTTCGTTGGCTGTGCTCTATTGTTCAAATATGTTGAGACAATGTTACCGTTGGGATGATCTAGTTGGCTCATCAAAATTCGGGCTAATTGGGGAGGTTGATGATAGTGTGATGGTGATAGCAACCAATAATGTACTTGCTGAGTGCTTTGAATGTAAAATTTTGTGTATCTCAATGCCATGAGTGCGTTAGTGGCAATAAGTTTAAGTTTTTGTAGTCAAATTGAAGAGTTCCATATATACTCGCATGTCTTACAGATCTATCAAGTGATTGGTAGGTTATGAGGAGAGGACTTGCATCCAATGGGCCTCGCAGAGGAACTCAACTAAGAAACATCAAGCCAGCTCGCCCGACGGGATTTGAAGGATCTCATCAATGAGAAATAATTACATGCGGAGTCTAGATGTACCTCTACATCCGGAGTACACACTGTGTAAGCTCACGTGTCACGATTTCATTGGAGTCCGAATGTAGAGATATATACAGACTATGCATGTTATAATTTCTCCTCATCAACAAACTACATAGAAAATAGTCCTATTTTCTCAAAATGAATAACTATAACATTTTTAAAAATACAACTAAGAATAATTTTAAGCAAGAAATAAATAAATGTTTTTGAAATTATATACATTTGCCATATTTTTAAATTATTCTTTAAATTCTGACCTGTTAACTAATATCATACATACATGAGAAAGTATGCACCCCTCCGAATTTCATTATCTATCACAGCTTTCAAAATTTAAATAGTTCTTTTAAGTGAATTAATTCAAGAAAAATAAAATCCTGTCTATAACTGTAGAGCTATGTCCAAACTATGTACGTTATAATTTCTCCTCATCAACAAACTACATAGAAAATAGTACTATTTTCTCAAAATGAATAACTATAACATTTTTAAAAATACAACTAAGAATAATTTTAAGCAAGAAATAAATAAGTATTGGATATCTCTCAGTATGGCTGGGTATTGTTGGTGCACCCCTACTTATTTATATGTCTATGTGATGGATATTTTACACAGCTATGATACTAAACTTTATATCTCTACTGCCACAAATATTTCAAAACCCTAAACTTTAAAAAGAAATAAAAAATTTATCCCAAACAAAGTGAAGTCTCCCTCAATTTGAATGAAATTTCAGTCAGCATTACATATCAGGATCTAGCGTTGTTGAGATATATTATTGTAAAACTACTTCTTTATGATTTGTTGTTTCCTATGACCAAGCGTTAAGCGAACGTTAGAAAGTATCATAGAACTCCTTACTATTTCAGAAGTTCTCATTTTCAAATTTACTTCCATGAAAGATTATTATGCCATGATATAGAATGAGCGGGGCTACGGTTCATCAACAAAGTATTTGCATCTCTTTTCACCCTTGATTTATGAGCTTTAGCTCTCACAAGTCGAAAATAATAATAATTAAAGAAAATATTAATACAGTTCATCTTAATCTGTTAATTAGATTTTTATTATTAATAAAGAAGTATTGAATTCGAAGCTTCCTTCTATGATGTGCTTATCAAATTAAAGAAAAAATAGTAAATGGACATTAAAGATGGGATATGGATGCGACATTGCAGCTGAGCTGAGAGCTCGGAAATGCCAATCTGCCATGAAATTCAGCTTCATATGATTGTGACTTATAAATTGAAATAGCTGTCATATGTGCTTCTGTCCTTCACATTATTTAATTCGTCTTTTTATAACTAATTATTCTACTTCATTTCATCTTTTTTAGATTTTTTTTTTCATGTGCTACTGAGATAATTCCATCTATTTTTAGGCCAACAGGCTGTTCTTTAGAGATCAAGCAACACCTAATTGCCTTATCTTTTTTCTTTTTTTTTTTGGAATTCTGAAATTATTTAGTTTGGAAAATATTTTATTTGGAAATAAATTATAATTAATTGGAAATTTTAAATTTACATTTTATTCTTTTTACATTATCTCCCTCAGCAATCCACCCAAATCTCTAAAGTGATCATTGTATTTTATCTAATTTGTTTATTAACATTTGAATTCTCTTTGTAATAGATTATAGATATAGAGGCTAACAATGTATAAATGAAGATTTAGATTTCATTTGTGATAGCTTTTTTATTGCTTTATGAGGCAGTTTTTTATTAGAAAATTTTCAAATTCAAAAGAATTTTGTATTAAAAAATTGTTTCATAAAATAGTAAGAAATATAACTCAAAAGAAATCTTAGACATTAAAAAACTGCTTCATATAGCACTATATTAATAATGATACATAATCAATGATGAATCATATATGATCATTAGTAAGTCATTAGCGAAAAATTAATCAATCATTTGTTAAACTTTATTATTTATTGATTATTTGTTAGTCGATCGAAATTGTCCAATATTTAATTTTTTATAGGTGATACTATACAAACTTGCAATCCACCCATCCTCAAAATAGTCATTTAGTGATTAGCACATTATCGTTTATTCGATATTCTTCATGTTAACACTCTATTATCATTTCTACATTTTGCTGGTAATAAAAATCATTAGCCTTTTTTAATTTGAGTGACAATGCAAAAGGCATACATAATTATATAAAAATAAGTTTCTGTTCCAAACTGAAAATTGCATTAAAAAATGTTTAATTAGACAATTTGACATAATCGACCAATTTGACATAATGCGCAAATTTGAGCGACATTGTAGCAGAGCTCAACATTGGGTACCCATATTTACACCCACCCACGTACCCAACTATATGCAATGGACATGGCTGGGTATGGCTACGCCCATGACTTCGTGATTGGGTATGGGTGGGTACTCAACATCATGGGATGAACCGATTTACATTGTTAATCACCGTACGCAATATATTACAGTAATCGTCACTATGCAGTGTGTAGCACTTAATCGCACTGCGACCACGATAAATTTTGATACGCGGTTTGAAAGTTTGTAGTCAAAGCAAATGGCAATAAGTCTCAAGGCCATTAGTTCGGTTCGTGGCGGGCTACATTCAAAATGCTTGGAAAGTGCGTGGTATGTGTGGGTCGGCATCCCAAAAGTTAACATGGGTGGACGAAGCCTGCCCGTGCGGAGTATGGGTACCCAACCAGGACCCCATGTAGGACTTTGGATCCTAGTGCTTGCTTATCAGCTGTTCCTGCAGCTGGGAAAATCTAGGCCAAACACCTCCCCATTTATACAATTGATTATCACAAATAAGGACAATAAATCCACTTTATGATAGTTTAAACAAAAGCCAGCTTTGTTGGTCCTCTCAAATTTTCTATTATAAATTATTGGGAATCAAACAAAATCTCTAATCTAATTTTTATTTTATTCTAAAAGACTCCCTATTCTTTGATAATTAACTGATGGAATCCAATCTGAGACCTTGATGGTATATTGGGGGTTATGACTGTATTAAAAATTAATTAAAATAAGAAATAAAATTATTAAATTTATTTTAAAATTAATATAATACAAAGATAATCAATCAGAATTTATATTATACTCTCCTTAAAAAAATTAAAAAAATTAAATCACATCATGAACAAAACTTTGATGGGAATTTTTGTCTCATTTTATTTTTTTTCCATTAACCATTATATTATTTACAATAAATTCAATATCATTCATTCATACGAATCGAATGATTGAGATGAAATAAATGCAGACATATAGTTATCATAATATAATTGCAATGATAACTATTGATTAAGGGGGATGCCAATTCATTAAAAAAATACTTAAATATTAGCTGAAAGATTCTCCACTTTTTTTTAATGTTTACAATAGAGACCAATCAAGTTTCTTTCCCATTAAGTCGCTTATTTCTTTTGTAATAATTTATATGATAGCGAAATAATTTATTTGATTGAGGACTCATTAGAGCTGTGAACGGGTCGAGTTTAGTAAATTTTTTTATTTAATTGAGCGAAGCTCATTTAATCTATATAGAGCATAGCTCGAGTTTATTTGTTGAGCTCGATTTCAACTCGAATGGAAATATAATGCTCGAGCTCTACTCAAATACTCGAGCATTATGAGAAGCTTCTAGATTGACTTGCTTTGATATTCGATTTCTTATTTTTAATCGGAGAAAAAAGTTTAATTAAGCTAATATAAATTTTGATGCATTAATTAATTTTAATTGAGCTGGTTTGACAAGCCAACAAGTCAAATTCTAGCTCGAGTACATGTTATATATGAGCTTAAATTTAAACTCGAACTTAAACTTGTGACTTGAGAAACTAAAATTAAGAGCTCATGAGTCAAGTTCAAACCGGCTCACAAGCACTCTCTCACTAACGAGAAATTATTTTGTGCAGAGTCCGGTCGGGAAGAACTCGTCCGAACTACGAGTATATACATTGTGTATACACAATGTGTATAAAAATTTGATACACATTAGATATACGCAAATAATAATTTTTTCTAACTTACACCCTTAAGCCTTACAGAATATGGGAATATTAACTTATATAGGAGAAATGATATAAATATTAAATTCGACATCTGACATAATAATAATTTTTATTTAAATGTTGTTATGAGTATCGACAATACGATAAATGTATTATTATTATTTTTTTTAATCAAGCCAGAGTGGGCAGGCAAATTTAGATCTAATTTTATTAATTAAATAAACGTTAATTTTTGACAAGCGGTGAATGGTGATTTACTAATTAATAATTATTTTACAACCATAACTGGAATCAGTTAAAGCTCTTTCCGGCGGCAAATTATTGCGTCCGGTGTCCTGATTCGTCCAACGTCAATCCGGTGTCGCCACGTCACCTAAATACATCGGAACCTAACGTATTTAAATGACGTGACAATCACCAAATTGAATGTCCGAACATCCGGTGACCGGACACAATAATTCGCCCTTTCCGGCAGGCACCAGACAAAGTTTGTAAGTACTTCAACGAAATAAACAAATGAGTGGGCTTGTTAATGATAAACCTTTTTTTTTAGTAAAAAGTAATAGTCAAAATTGAATAATAAGCACTTTTTGCCTATTATAAATTTAACATCAAATTAGTTTAGGATAACGAAATAAGAAATAATAATACATTAGAATATGCGAATTATTTCTGTGGTTAGATTTTAAATTAATTTATTTTCAAAAATATTTTAAAAAATATTATTTTTAAAATTATCATTAATCATTATATATCCAATGTTTTTCAACTCCACAGGATAACCTTTCCTTTTATTGTTTTTTGTATTATTTTGGATGTGATAAGTATTCTTAATGAAGAATTATTTAGAAAAGGTTATATTAAAAAAGGAAAATATAAACTATAAATATGTTTTTAAATCGTTGATAATAAATCTATTTGTAATAGAAATAAAAATAAGCATATTATGGATGCCTCAAAAAATTGGAAAATTGAATAGAATAATTAATTATAAAAATTAAAAAGACCAATTTTTAGAAAATATTTAAAAATAATATTTTTATATTAGATTTATTTAAAAATAATCTTTTTTTATAAAAAAATTTGATCTCACCAAACTGTTTTTTGGAACAATTTTTTAAAACAACTTTCTTAAATAAATTTTTTTTGAAAGCAATAACAAAATTTTATCCCAAAAAATCCTTAATCTAATAAACTGTGAAATTTTGAAAAATACATAAAAAATAAAAACATTTAATTATTCAAACATCATAATATATACACAAAACGAAAAAAAAAAATCACAAAGAAAATAAACTAAATCAAAAGTTCACTCTATCTAATTCCCTATAAAGCCATAAAGGATGACAACTTAACAGAATTCTCAAATTATCAATATAGACAAATAATAATCATTATCATCCTAATTAACGGCATTAGGGCCAGCACATGCCCTAAGCACCGGGCTCCAAACCCACTGTATCAAAAACTTTCTTCCCTTCCTCCCATTCACATTAAACTGCCTGCCGGCGCCATCGCTCGCCACCTGGCCGGTGTACCCTCCGCCACCCCCACTTCCATAAACCCCCTCGCAAAGATCGGCGATCTCCGTCGGGGAGGTTGGATCATCGCCGGCATACCACGCGTTCACAAGCGGATTCGTGGATAGTTCAGCAAGCTCGTGAGCAATCACACTCACCATTCCATCAACCCCAACATCGCCATTAGGCGGACGCATCGCCGCCGTGGCGCGACCCATGTACGCCGGAATAGCGAACGGGTAGGCGCAAACATCTGGGCACTGGCGAGCGCTATAACCGATCCAGGCGTACGGCAAAGTGTGGCCAACCATGGAAGGGAAGGTGAAGTAATGGAAGCCACATACCGCGCGGCAGAAATCCTGGACATCGACGCCGGCGGCTGTGAGGACGAGGTAGACGCCGTTGCGGTGGTCTGCGGGGAGGCCGGATCGGATGGAATCGGAGATGACTTGCTGAATGGAGAGGCGTGTGAGCGAGGTGCCGCGAGAGAGGGAGAGGTTGGAAGATTCGCCGCCGATGGTGAGGGATCGGGTGACATTGGCGCCGGTTTGGTCGGCGTAGAGGGAGACGGTCGACCACCATTCGGAAACGGAGGGCGATGGAGAGGATGAGTCGGAGATCGAGAGGAGGAAGTCCCGGATTGTGGATTGTTGAGAAGGAGCCCATCGGCCGTACCATATCAGATAGAGCTTGATAGAGGATGAGAGAACGGGACCCATGTGGTATCGGAGGTTGACAAGATCAGAGGACCCCTCATAACGCTTCGATTCGCCGAGGGTGTCGCCGGAGGGTTTGACGCCGGCGAGGGGAATGTGGATTTTGTTGGAGTGGTAAGGAAAGGGAGAGGCGGCGATAATAAATGAGGGGAGGAGGAGAAGGAAGACGAGGAGTAGGGAAGGAGATGAGCTGCTGCCCATTTTGTTTGATCGGATGGTGAGAATGTTGGAGTAAGATAAGATTAGAAGGTACGCCGAGGGTGCAAGTTAAGCGGTGGGAGGGAGAAGGCTTTTATAGGGAAGAGAGGAGACTTGCAGCGTGGGCTGGCATGAGTGAGTGTGAGAGCTGGAGACAGCTGCGTGGTGGGCTCCACCGTACTCCATTTTCAAAATATATATAATATAATATTTAAAAAAGCGGATATGATGAGGAAGATAAAAGGAGAAATGGTGTTGCGTACTTACCCACCCTCCCCCGTGCTTTCATGTTTGCCACGTGTCAGAGGGTGATCTAGTTTCAATGAATTTGGCTTTCGGATTATTAAAAAAAAAGCTCCAAATTCACCAAGCTCACCAGGATTATCGGAAGGTGGGCCCAAGAAGTGGAAGTGTGGGCCGTCGGGCCTAAAGGGAGTCCCAAGGTCCTTCCTTGGTTTGAATTTTTTTAGATTTGAAACAAAGTAAAGCTTTGAAGCAGGTGAGTCTCCTAAAATAGGAATATTAAATATTATATTTTCGGGTTTCATCTTTTAAATGAAAAAGGCTTTGGCCTCGACTTGAGGCTTTGGATTGAAGACTTTAAATACGTCTTTTTTCTGTTGGTTAGGAGCTTAGACTATCAGCTAAATGATCTTGGGTTCGAGTCTTATGTATGCGATGTGAGTGTGAATCTGTCTTCAATGGCAAAACTGTCCAAAAAAAAAAATCACTCCATACCCTCCAAAAATTAATTCATCATTCATGATAAGTCTTTCCCAACTTAGAGTGATTTTTTTGTTTTGTTTGCATCTATGGACCCTTTCTTTGATTGGTGACCTCATATTCGTCATGTCTACACCTATTATTTGTTAAGTCCCAACAAAAGGCTCATATTTCAACTAAAAAATTAGCTTCTAAATGCTAATTTATAATTGATGTCCAACGCCGCTCATGTCAATGGCTTTTGCCCTTGTTGCCCATGAGTTGATTCCTTATTAAGTCTCCAAACTCTTTTAGAGCCAACATTCCGCTTAAAAGTAATCCTTAAATATTATATCAATACTTATTGTAATATACTAAATTTAACATTTTTATGCATTATTAAGAAATCATCTCTGTGTTTTTATCAGGCACATTATAGTCCTGTGGAAACTCTTTTTTTTTTTTTTCTTAGGAGAGTGTCTCTTTTTCTCAATACATGAGCACGTCTTTAGATGTTGTGTGTTAGTCACTTGACTTGAGTTCTTTACTATTCATCTTAATGCAATCAGTCTAATATTTCACTTAACAATATTTGCAACTCATGAGAATTTATAATATTCTTTAGCTATTGCATCATATTTATTGCTCTTATCAATAAATTATAATCTCCAATGTCATTTTCTTTCTTTCAATATGTTATCTCAATGGTAGAAAATTTGTATCATTAAAGATATGCTTGTATCCCTTGAACTGCCATCATGACTATAATTTTCATTTAGGAGCTATAAATATCTCGTAAAAAATGCATTCAAAAAAGAGAAAACTTCAAGAGCTTGAGGTCACCATTTAGCTTGATGGTGTAAAAGAATTATCTTTATTTCTCTTCTATATTTTTTTATTTACTTAAATAAATTAAAATTTATTATTTCTCTTGTACCTATTTCCATTGAAGTTCTCTTTTTTAATTATTTTCATTTCTAATAGTAAATTTGTCTCATTGCCCCTCCAAAAAAAAAATTGTCTCATTGCCCCTAAAAAAAAAAAAAAAAAAATTGTATAGAAGCACTTTTTTATTATAATCAACATCAACACTTTTAGAATCTTGTACCCCCTTGCTTCACCACAAATAGAAGACTTTCTCTCTAGATTAAACTTTAACATTAAATTGATTTATTTTCTTTCTACTTCAGAGAAGGGCAATTAATTACAATTGAAGTACAAAAAATTTTAATTTGAATTTTTTTTTTTCAAAATTTTCAAATAATTACAATAAATATCGTTTTAAAAAACAGTAATAAAAGATATCCCAAATGATACTTAAGACAATTTCTTTCAAAATTTACAAATAAAAAATAAATTGGTCGTGAAAATCATCATTCGAAACTAATGTATTAAACTCACCTGGTCTCTACTAACACAACTTCGATTAAAAAATTATTATTATTATTGTTGTTCTCGTCCTGGAATATTCACGGCAGTGGAGTGGTATAAAGTTTAATGTCTTAGCTTTATAGATCTAGCACACAAACATATGAAATATCTAGGTGTAGCATTTATAAGATATGCCAGAGTTTTTACATAGAAATCACCCCTAAAAAGGAGGGAAAATCACAGAGATTGGCCCAATTTGAATGAATCCACAAGTGTTTGTAGTTGATAACAAATGAGGTCCTCCATTGGGGGAAGGCGTTAGCTTGATGTAGCAAATATATATCATATAGAGTGCATTACATGGTGGGAGTTGGAAGAATCAGTATTAACATGTTCGTTTGATCGGCAGGACTATAGTCGATGGGCAATAAAGGTAAAAAAGACAGTAGTTGGGTGACAATGGTCGGAAGGACCATAGTCGGTAGGCGACAGAAGTTGGAAAGATCGTAATCGGGTGATAGTGGTTGAAATAACCATAGTCAGCGGGCAATGGAGGTCTGAAAAATCATATTCGAGTTAAGGAGGTCAAAAGGATAGTAAGAGGCGGGCAATGATGATAAAAAAAGACCGTCGTCAAGCAACAGATGTCGAAATGATCATAATCGGCGAGTGATGATGCTCATAAAGATCATTGTTAGGCCACGATGGTTAGAAAGATCATAGTCTTGCGACTGAGGTCAGAAGGACCATAGTTGGCGATGGCTAGAAAGGCCGTTGTCAGACGACGGAAGTCGGAAGGACCGTAGTCGATGGTGACGGTGGTAAAAAAGATTGTGGTCAGACAATGGAGATTGGAAGAACAATAGTTCGGCGGGCTACGGTTGTCAGAAAGGTTGTAGTCTAGCCATCGAGGTCGGAAGGACCATAGTTAGATGACGGTGGTCGGAAGAAAATTCGACAACAGTCGGTGACCAGGCAGTGGTTGAGTATAAGCTTGGTGGCAAAGAGATCTCAAATTTCTCCTCTCCTCCCCTATTTCTCTTTCTATCTCCCCTTTGTGAAGAATGAGAGATTTATTTATAATTTTTTGTGAGTGACGTGACCAATAAATAAAGAGAAGATCTAGAGCGCGTTGGGAATGGTTTGAATTGACGGTTGATATTGATTCCCTTGATCATGGACAGTTTATCGAGTATTTAAGTTTCTTAATGGTGTCAGAATTCTTTGATCTTGGGTTCATTGGATTCATCTCGTCAAGCCGCTCAATTCAACTATACGCATGTCACATTTAAAAATCATTTTATTATAATATTTATGATTTGAACCTTTCAAATGCAGATCGGGTCCTTGATTTGAACATATTTGGGCTCATATAGGAACGAATTCGGTGTTCTTGGATTCATCTTTTCGAGACTTTCAGTTCAACTATAAATTTGCTTAAATCGGAGTTGGATGCTCCCGAATATAATTTCAAAGTTTCCAATGCAAATTGGTCTTGAGATTCGTGCTCGATCAGGATTTTTTTTTTATGATATATCAATTATCATATATAATTATCAGTTATTACTCGATCAACGATTCTCTTAATATAAAATTAAGCTCATATAATGATTTATTTGTATCATTTCTGAAGATTAATGTGGATCACGCATTTTGGCAACCTAACGTTTGTCAGGATTAAAGCCAATGATTTTTATGATCTTTTTATTCAACATTATCTCTAAATTATATATAAATTAAATCATTAATCTTCCAAAGTTTCACTTTATTGAAGTGTTTGAATTGTCAGGATTAGTTCATCTGATTCGTGCATTTATTCCAGCACGGTGTGAATTGTCTCAATCCAATTCTCAACTTGGATTACGAATCACAGGCGGATCCACGTAGGTCTGAGGGTGGGCAATTGCCCACCCTAAAACCGGAGAAATGAATAAGAAGGGAGGCCATTTTGGACTTTTGCCCACCCTAAAATTAATATTTTAGCCCTAATACAACACATTGCCCAACTCGAAGCCTATACCGACGTGATCTCCCTCTCGTTCATCCTCCACAATGGGGTCCCCGGCCTCCAGGCCTTCAAGAACGGCTTCGGCTGGGTCACATCTCACCTCATCCCTAACTCCATCATCGTCCACGTCGGTACGCGCTCGAGATCATCACTAATGGGAGGTACCACAGCGTCCTTCACCGCGGGCTTGTTAATAAAGAAAACAATACAAATATATATTTTCGGACTTATAGAGCTTTGATGTCCGAAAATAAGGGGACAACTGATATATCAGTAAAAAATTATGTTGACCAGGCACGAATCTCAAAGCAAAATTGAGTTGAAATCTTTCAAAATTAAATCAAAGACTATATGAACTATGTTTTCAACAAACTTATAGTCAAGCTGAACGTCTCTGAAAGACGAACCCATTGACACCAAATTCGCCTCAATCCGAGCCCAAATGGGTCCAAATCAAGAGTCCGGAGCATTGTTGGAGGTTTCAAACCACAATTTGGATTACCAAATAGTTTCCAAACATGACATGCTTATAGTCGAATCATGCGGCTCGACAAGCGAATCCAACGAGCCCAAGATCACTGAATTCTGATATCATTAAGGCTTTCAATTGACCAATAAACGGTCCATGATTAAGGGGATCAATATCAGTCGTCCATTCAAACACTCCCATTTTGACCTTGATCCTCCACATATTTACAAGCCATGTCACTCTCAAAAATCTATAAATAGACCCTCATTCTTCACATGGAGAGGAGGGGAAGAGGAAGAAGAAGAGAAGGAAGGGAGGAATTTGGTAGCTCTCTTGTCACCGACCACCGCCGGAGTTCCTATCGACCACCGTCGGAGTTCCTGCCGACCACCGCCGGAGTTCATGCCGACCACCGCAGGAGTTCATCCCGACCACCGACGGAGTTCATCCCGACCGCCGTCAGAGTTCTTCCCAACCACCGTCGGAGTTCCTCCTGACAACCGCCGGAGT